GGGAGTGTGCCACCATGCATAGATAATTAAAAAAAAAATTTTCTGTAGAGACACGGTCTTGCTCTGTTCCCCAGGCTGATCTCAAACTCCTGGTCTCAAGCCATCCTCCCACTTTGGCCTCCCAAAGTGTTGTGATTACAGCAGTGAGCCACCTCACCAGGCCTAAAATTCTAAGCCTGGAATTTTGTATTCTAAGAGGGAAATGGACGAGTTTGTTTTTATTGTTGGTGACAAGTGGTTACATTGGCTTAACAGGTAATTATCAGATAATAAATGAGCTTTTTTCTGAATAGCTTGATTATATTTTTAGATTTATTTTTTAAATGTCTTAAAGCCTTAAGCCTTATTATACTTTATTCTCTGAATAACAAATATGATTCATTTATTCAGAATAAATCTACCTGATTATATTTGTATACTGATTGCCTTGGAGTTAGAAGGTTTGAGGAATCTGTAACTCTTCCTTCCCGAGTAATAAAACCCTTGTTACTTCTGGCTAGAGGTATCAAGATTGAAGAACAGATGAGTCTTTCTTGTATTCGTTTCTGCCTCAGGCAGCATTCTTTGTAAATACAACACCCAGTCAAAGGTAAAAAGTCCCAGTGATGGTAGGCAGGTTATTTGACAAGTTATTCTTTTTTCCCCCTTTTTGGGAAGACCAGATGCCTGTTAACATACCTCTCAGTTTCTCCGCTTTGCCAGGGAGAACTTTATTGTTATGAAGACTCCCTTTTGCCCAGTGTTAAATTTCTGGATGTAGGTGCTTTAAAAATACTGGTATGGGCCAGGCATGGTGGCTCACACCTGTAATCCCAGTACTTTGGGAGGCCGAAGCGGGCAGATCACTTGAGGTAAGAGTTTGAAACTAGCCTGGCCAACATAGCGAAACCCTGTCTTCACTAAAAATACAAAAAGTATTCGGGCGTGGTGGCATGCATCTGTAATTCTACCTACTCGGGAAGCTGAGGCAGGAGAATCACTTGAACCCAGGAGGTGGAGATTGCAGTGAGCTGGGACTGTGCCACTGCACTCTAGCCTGGGTGACAGAGCGAGACTCCATCTCAAAAATTAAAAAAAAATTTTTTAATTAAAAATATTGGTATAAAGATTGAATCTGGCTGGGCACAGTGGCTCATGCCTGTAATCCAAGCACTTTGGGAAGCTGTGGTGGGCATATCACTTGAGGTCATGAGTTCAAGACCAGCCTGGCCAATATGGTGAAACCCCGTCTCTACTAAAAATACAAAAATTAGCCAAAGAATCACTTGAACCCAGGCGCCAGTGGTTGCAGTAAGCCAATTCTGAGCTAGTGTATTCCAGCCTGGAAAACAGAGGGAGACTCAGTGTCAAAAAAAAAAAAAAATTTAGCTGGGTGTGGTGGTATACACCTGTAATCCCAGCTACTAGGGAGGCTGAGGCAGGAGAATCGCTTGAACCTGGGAGGCAGAGGTTGCAGTGAGTTGAGATCAGGCCACTGCACTCCAGCTTGGGCAACAGAGTGAGACTCTGTCTCAAAAAGAAAAACAAGATTGAATCTTTTTTATACCTAAAAAAAGACACCCAAGGATTTGGGAAGTAAGTCTCTCTCCATAGAATCCTGGAAATTTGTTCAATTTGGTCTGTATGTGGTTAAAACATTTTTTTGTTTTCCCCCTCATTTACCAAGGATGAGACCTAATTAGAATTAGATGAGGGTGTGTTGGTTTGTTTTTATTTTTGGTCTTATTTTGAGCCAAGACACTTTTACATTGTCTTTTACTAACAGAATAATCTGTCAAAATTATGGCACTAAAAGAAAGTTTTATGACAATGGTTTTAAAAAGAAGTGAATACTGTTGTAGCATGAGATTCAAAAACTAAAAGATAATAAAATCAGGAAGAGAAAACTGAAATTGATTGTAATTTTGAGACCCTATAACTTGGAGGTGGTTGTTTTCTGCTCACTTGTGTTTAGGCAGTTGCTAAGGCTGGACAATGGTTACACTGAATCATGACTGAAGGGAGGCATGACAGTTTTTGTTTTGTTTTCTAATACTGCGGAGTGCTCCAGGCTCATCTTATATATTTCCTGCTGTAGTCCTAGAATCAACCATTTTTTAAAGGGCCCTGGTTCCTTTGTTGGAATTACCAACGAAGATCTGGGCATTAGGGTATGGTTTTTTTGGGCCATTTTGGCTGACAGAGCAAAGAAATGTATGTGGGTGTATTAACCCTTGTATATACATATCTATAAATGCTTCTCTGTGTAACCCTCTGTCTTATATTAAATTAAACATGAGTTCTGATTCTCCATCTCTACTGCATCACCGCGTGGATCATTCTAGCCTCCTCCCCTTGCTGATCTCTGAATTTCCATTCCCACAGTGAGGAAATGGGCTTTTCCCATCTGCCATCCAATTCCAGTACGTTTGTAGAGCAGTATCATAATTGTTAACCAGTACCCTCGTGGAGAACAACTTTATTGACTCTAGTACAGTACTTATTGGTAGTCCCTTTTGAGTTGAGTCTTCCAGACTCCTTTTGTTTTCAGTCACTTAGATCCGTACCTTTTCCTCCACTCATTTTAGTGAGGTTTTTAAAAATACCTTTGAGGTACAGTTAGGTTCTCTTGCCACAGTCTGGGATTCTTCCAACCTCCTGTGTTTAAAAATATTTGCATATATTAAGGTTTACTCTTTTTTTTTTTTTAAAATACAGATGGGGTTTTGCCATGTTGCCCAGGCTGGTCTCAAACTCTTGGGCTCAAGCAGTCCACCTACTTTGACTTCCCAAAGTGCTGGGATTATAGGTGTGAGCCACTGTGCCTGGCCAAGGTTCATTCTTTGTTCTATGAAGTGCTAAAGGTTTTCACAAAAGCATTATGTCATATATGTACATTATAGTCTCATACGGAATAATTTCGCTACCCTAAAAATTCCCCGTGCTTCACTTACTCATCCTTTTCTTCCCCACAGGACCCTGGTAACCACTGATCTTTGCTTTTTCTGGAATGTCATATAATTGTAATCATACTTACATAGTAGCCTTTCAGACTGGTTTCTTTCCCTTAGCAACATGGACTTAAGGTTCCTGCATGTCTTTTCATGACTGTTTTTTGTTTGTTTGTTTTTTTGTAGAGATGCAGTTTTGCTCTGTTGCCCAGGTTAGAGTGCAGTAGCATGATCTTGGCTCACTGCAACCTCTGCCTCCTCGGTTCAAGCAATTTTCCTGCCTCAGCCTCCCGAGTAGCTGGGATTACAGGCTCCTGCCCCCCATGCCCAGCAAATTTCTTTTGTATTTTAGTAGAGACGAGATTTCACCATGTTGCCCAGAGTGGTCTCGAATTCCTGAGCTCAGGCAATCCGCCTGTCTCAGCCTCCCAAAGTGCTAGGATTATAGGCCTGAGCCACTGCCCTAAGCCTTCAGATGGAGTCTCACTCTGTCGCCCAGGCTGGAGTGCAGTGGTGCAATCTTGGCTCACTGCAACCAACAGCTCCTGGGTTCAAGCAGTTCTCCTGCTTCAGTCTCTTCAGTAGCTGGGATTACAGGCACCTGCCACCATGCCTGGCTAAGTTTTGTGTTTTTAGTAGTGATGGGGTTTCACCATGTTGGCCAGGCTGGTCTCAAACTCCTGACCTCAGGTGATATGCCCATCTTGACTTCCCAAAGCACTGAGATTATAGGTGTGAGCCACTGCCCCGGCCTTTTATGGCTTAATGGCTCATTTCTTCTTTTAGATGCATAATACTTAGGTGTATGGCTGTTCCACAGATTGCTTATCTATTCATCTATTGAAGGACATCTCGGTTACTTACAGTTTTTGGGAACTTATGAATAAAGCAGCTATAGCCATTTGTGTGCAGGTTTTTGTGTAGATGTAAGTTTTCAACTCAGTTGGGTAAATATCTGGGACTGTGATTGCTGGATCTTATGTTAAGATTGTGTAAAAAGCTGCCAAACTGTCTTCCAAAGTGACTGTATCATTTTGTATTTCCACCAGCAGTGAATGAGGAGTGCTGTTGCTCCATATCCTCACTAGCATTTGGCATTCGGTATTATCAGTTTTGTGGATTTTAGCCATTCTAATAGGTGTGTAGTGGTATCTTGTTTTGATTTGCAATTCCCTGATGATGAATGATACTGAGCATCTTATATGCTTATTTGCCATCTGTATCTTCTTCGGTGAGGTATCTGTCCAGATATTTTGCCCATTTTTAAATTGGGTTGTTTGTTTTCTTATTGTTGAGTTTTCCTAGCCCCTTGTGTGTTTTGGATGCAACTCTTTTATCAGATATATGTTTTGCAAATATTTTCTTCTAGTCTTTTTTTTTCATTCTCTTAACAGTGCCTTTTGCATAGCAGAAGTTTTTAATTTTAATAAAGTTCAACTTAGCAATTTTTTTTTTTTTGAGACGGAGTTTCACTCTTGTTACCCAGGCTGGAGTGCAATGGCGCGATCTTGACTCACCGCAACCTCTGCCTTCTGGGTTCAGTCAATTCTCCTGCCTCAGCCTCCTGAGTAACTGGGATTACAGGCACGCGCCACCATGCCCAGCTAATTTTTTGTATTTTTAGTAGAGATGGGGTTTCACCATGTTGACCAGGATGGTCTCGATCTCTTGACCTTGTGATCCACCCGCCTTGGCCTCCCAAAGTGCTGGGATTACAGGCTTGAGCCACCGCACCCAGCCAGCAATTTTTTTCTTTCATAGATCATGCTTTTTGGTGTTGTACCTGAGATCTCATTGCCGGCCCCCTAGATTTTCTCCTATGTTATCTTTTAGAGGTTTTATAGGTTTGAATTTCGTAATCCACTTTTGACACAGCATTGGCTCACACATATTTCTAGATTATTTTGTTTTTCATGTTTACAATTTTAAATGATTGCTTTCTAGTTTATTCAATTATTGTACTGTAATTTTCTTGGCTTTTTGTCCCCCTGTTGACTTTTTATAAAAACAAATGGAAACAACCTAAATAATAACGGATGTTTGTGCTTAGCTCTTTTTGTATTTAGGCGGTTGCTTCAGCAGCACTTATGCTAAAATTAAAAAGATACAGAGAAGATTCGCATGGCCCCTGTGCAAGGATCACATGCAGATTCATGAAATGTTCCATATATATGTGTATACATCTATGTACGTATATATATTTTCCCTTTGGAAAGCAGTTTCACTGGCAGTATGCATCTAAAGATATAAAAATGCTTATAATCTTTTAACTAATAATTGTATTACTGAGAATTTATCCTAAGGCAATGACCAAAACATGAACTTTGTAAGGGCAAGAATTTTACAATGGCATGCAGAGCACTCTCAAGTATCTCTTATAAGAAAAAATTAAATCATCCTAAACACAAGAAAGTTTTTTGAGACAAAATCTCACACTGTTGCCCAGGCTGGAGTGCAGTGGCACAATCTCAGCTCACTGTAGCCTCTGCCTCCCAGGTTCAAGGGATTCTCCTGCTTCAGCCTCGCAAGTAGTTGGGACTGCATGTGTACGACACCACGCCTGGCTATTTTTGTGTATTTTTAGTAGAGATGGGGTTTCACCATGTTGGCCAGGCTGGTATCAAACTAACTCCTGACCTCAGGTGATCTGCCTGCCTCCCAAAGTGCTGGGATTACAGGTGTGAGCCACCGTGCCTGGCCAGTGTTTCGTATTTTTTAATACAAAAAATGTAAAATAAAAAATTATTTAAAAAACAGCAGGCCTGGCATGGTGGTGGTGGCATGGGCCTGTAATCCCAGTTACTCAGGAGACTGAGGCAGGAGAATCACTTGATCCCGGGAGTGAGCGGAGATCATGTCACTGCACCCTAGGCCGGGTGACCAAGCGAGATTCTGTCTCAAAAAACTTTTTTGTGTTTAGGATGATTTAATTTATTCTTATAAGAGATACTTGAGAGTGCTTTGCATGCCATTGTAAAATTCTTGCCCTTTCGAAGCTCATATTTTGGTCATTGCCTTCGGATAAATTCTCAGTAATACAATTATTAGTTAAAAGATTATGAGCATTTTTAAATCTTTAGATGCATACTGCCAGTGAAATTGCTTTCTAAAGGGATTTTACCTATTTAGAAAACCATTGTCTCATATTCCAGATGATAGAAGTTGATACTAAAAGTAATTAAGATGGTAATTTTTTATTGTAAAAGTTGTTGACCGGATTTTACTATTTATTAGAAAATACAAGCATTTTGGAAAATTTGGGCCATTTACTTTCTCTTGTTGTGCTTTTATCATTTATCAATGAATTAGATGCTCTCAGATGTGAGGTACAGCATGTTACTATTTCTAAAACAGCATTCCACATGTCTGATATTTGGTGGTCCGGAATGGGAACTTTGTTTAGATCTGTTCAAGCTTCACGTATTTTGGCGGCATTCATTGCTTACACATGTCTAAGGGTAAAGTATGGTATGATTGCTTAGATAATTAGTAAGAATATTCTTCAGCTTGTTTACCTAAGTAAGATAGCAAGGAGGCAGAGTTAAATGAAAAGGAGACAAACTGAACGAGTCATATGATTTAAATGCGAAAATTAGAAAGGACAGACTTTACATTTTGGTAGAGCAGTTTCTCATCTTTACAGTGTAGTTTCTAGTACAGCTGTAATGAGCACCTAAGCAGTGAACCAGTGAAAAGTCAAAGGAATGTCTCTCTTCTCATATGCCAGGAGTCTGTTTTCCTTCAACTTCAGAGACCTCCGGATTTTCAAGATGTGTTGTGGAGAAGGTAGGGAGTTCATTTAAAAAGCTCTGTATAGTTGAGAAGATGATATAATAGTGTGTTAAAGTTTTAAACATAGTTCCAGTCACCCTAACTCAACTATTTTTGTGTTTTACATAATGTACCTTATGGGCAAAAATATAAACAATTTGTAATCTTCATTTTTGCATTTAACATAAGAACTTTCCCATGTTTGCATATCGTTTTCATAAATATTTTAAGAGGTTTATAGTTCATATGTTTGATTTACTTCAGTGTCTTTAAAGGTTTTGCTAATGTTGGATATTATTTGGCTGAACAAATTATTTTTCAAATACTAGGTCAGAAGAAAATGCTTTGCAATCTTGAGTGCTAGTTTTTTTTCTTCATTGAGACAGGGTCTCTCTCTGTCACCCAGGCTAGAGTGCAATGGTGCAATCTTGGCCCTCTGCCACCTCTGCCTCCAGGGTTCAAGCGATCCTCTGAGGTAGCTGGGACAACAGGCATGCACCACCAGGCTCAGCTAATTTTTAAAATATTTTTTGTAGAGACAGAGTCCCACTATATTGCCGAGGCTGTCTTGAACTCCTGGCGTCAAGTAATCCTCCCACTGCAGCCTCCCAAAGTGTTAGGATTATAGGTGTGAGCCACTGTGCCTGGCCCTTAAAAATCTAACAGGTGAAATCTATGCCTCCTTAGAAACTGAATCTGAATTTTATTTGTGATGCACTATAATGGTATTTTTGCAGTGTTTGGCGAATTTAACTCTTGTTCCTTACATTATGGCTTTGATAAACTTGAGAGATGCTTCTGCTATCTGACTTAATGTTGTAATTTGTTGCTGAGGTTTCTTTTTTTAATTTGAGATGGAGTTTTGCTCTTGTTGCCCAGGCTGGAGTACCGTGGTGCCATCTCAGCTCCCTGCGATCTCTGCCTTCTGGTTTCAAGTGATTCTCCTGCCTCAGCCTCCGGAGTAGCTGGGATTACAGGCATCCACCACCACGCCTGGCTAACTTTTGCATTTTTAGTAGAGATAGGATTTCACCATGTTGTCCAGGGTGGTCTGACCTCATGATCCACCCGTCTTGGCCTCCAGAGTGCTGGAGTTACAGGCATGAGCCACCGTACCTGGCTATGTTGCTGAGGTTTTAACTATACTAGGCTTGAAATACATGTTCTATTATTTATTGGAGATTAGGACAAAGGAGCCAAAGCAGAAGTAGGGCGAACTAGCTGCGGCTTAATGTTCTTTTCATTACTTTCGTGAAATAACCTGTAAGACTTGGAAATATGCAAAGTTTAGCTTATTTTCCACAAAGATAGGGGAGTTGAAGGCAAAAGCCTGTATTTTATTTAAGCAGTTTTATGCTGCAGATATGTACAGATTTCATATACTAGATCTTTAATAACAAAATTATTCATAATAGCAAAAAAATTCAAAGCAATCTAAAAGTAGAATAGGGGTTATGCTGTTCACTCAGATGGTAGACTCCTATTTCACACTTACAGATGTGGATATTATATAATAATTTTTATTTTTAAATCAGCTTTACTGAGGCTTAATTTACATACAGTCAAATGCACACATATGAAGTGTAGAGTCTGAGTTTTGGTAAAGTATATATCTGTTTAACCACCACCCCAGTCAGTATATAGACAGCTCCATCACTTTTTTTTTTTCCTGAGACAGTCTCACTTTGTCAACCAGGCTGGAGTGCAGTGGTGAGATCTTGGCTCCCTGCAGCCTTGACTTCCGGGTACAAGCAATCCTCCTGCCTCAGCCTCCAAGTAGCCAGGACTACAAGCCTGCACCAGGACGCCCAGGTAATTTTTTGTATTTTTTGTAGAGACGGGGTTTTACCATGTTGCTCAGGCTGGTCTCGAACTCCTGAGCTCAAGCGATCCCCCTGCTCCCCGCCTCTGCCTCCCAAAGTGTTGGGATTACAGGCGTGAGACATAACAAAGTTTCTTTATGCCCTTATCCCTTCCCCTCCAGACAACCACGGATTTGATTTCCACCACTGAAGAATGGTTTTGCCTATTCAAGAACTTCAAATAAATGGAATCAAATCAGTCCGATTCTTTACTGTATCACTTCCCCAGCCCCCAGTGTATTTTTGAGATTTACCTATGCTGTTGTGGATATGAGTAGTTTTTCCTTTTTATTGCTTCTTCCTTTTATTGGTGTGACACTTTTACTTTCTGATAGACATTGGGTTTTTTCAGTTTCTTACTATTTTGAATAAAGCTACAGTGAACTACAGTCGTGTGTGTGTGGGTGTGTTTTTACCTCTCTTGGATTGTACCTAGGAGTGGAATTGCTGGGTCTTGTGGTAAATGTGTATTTAACATTATGAGGAACTACTAGATTGTTTCTGTTTTATGCACTTATCGGCTATATATAAGAATTGAACTTGTTGCACATATTTGACAAAACTTGGTATTGCCACTCTCTATTAGCCAGCTACAAAATTGAAATGTATGTCTTAGCACTTGCAGTTATAGGAGTTTATTACCTATTTTTAATGGGCTGCTTCTGAGAGACTAATTACCTTTTTATTAGTTTCTTGCATGGCACAGAGGGTCAAAATAGTATTTTACTTACTACCTAGAATGGCTTTTTGCTGTAGTACATGTAGTGCTTGGCTTTGTCATATTTCCATCCATACCTAGTTTTCATTGTATACAGCTTCCTTCACAAGTGGTATACAAATCCTGACTAGAGCTTTTTCTCCTGCTTCTGGGAATGTTTATATTAGCTTTTCAGTTTCCCTAGCTGGCCAGCTTTCCTTGAATAGAAGTCTTATTTGAAGCCACTTCCATTAGCTAGCTTAAGGCCTCTGTCTTTTGGGACTAAATGTTGGTCTTATGTAAAAGTAAGGATTTTATTTAAATTATGAAGTGTATCTTTATAGTGCCAAAGACATAAAATAAGTTAGATATCATCTGCCTAAGAAAACAAAATTTTGATCTTATTTGTGGATTGTTGGAATTTTTGACCCCCTTTATTTTTTCCTTCATTTTATTATGAAAAGTTTCAAACGTACAGAAAAATTGAAAGAATCATGCAGTGAATACCTGTATATCTATCACCTAGATTCTATAATTAACATTTTGCTGTATTTGCTTAATCACATACGTGTTAGTTATTTTTGATGATGTGTTTAGGCTACTGCCTTTCTTTATAAAAGTGGTGTAAATTGGTAGATCCTATTAGGCAGTCAGTATCACTTTTGTGTGATAAGAGAATTAAGTCCTTCACTGATTCTGTGGTCTTGTGAAGGTGGCTATTTGTGAACCCCATTATCATTGGTTGAGAGCTTAGTCATTTATTTTCAAATGAATTCCAAGTAAATTACGTTACAAAGGTAGAAGAAAGGCAAAGGAAACTGGTGGTAGAAAAGATTTATACCA